ATGAACATTAGTGGCAGAAAAACACCAACAAATTTGTTCCTTTTTACACAGATTATTGATTACTAAAGACTTATTTTCACGCTGTTTTTGCACATAATGCACATATTGGTTTGAAAGCTATTTATTGGACAGGACACAGTGTGTGCGGATGGAAGGTCATTCATCTACACCTTTAAGGATTATGAGGGGTGTTCCTCAGGGGTCCGTTCTGGGGCCTTTACTTTTTACCTTTTATATTAATAATCTTGATCTCAATATTAGTAATGTAAATTTTAATTTGTATGCCCATGACACTGATTTATTGTAGTGCACCCAAATTACACCAAGCTGTGTCTTTTCTTCAGTGTGCTTTTGATGTTGTGCAATAAAGGCTCTGTGACCTAAACCTGACTTTGAACGAGGCCAAAACTAAAGTAATACTTTTCACGATCCAAGAAATTGGCAAATTAACTTAAATCCTTACAGGGTACTATAAAAGAGGTAGTGACAGAATATAAAATATATTTGATGATTCCTTATCTTTTAAATCCCATGTTAATCAATTAAGGACTAAATTAAAAATAAAGCTGGGATTTTATTATAGAAATAAATCCTGTTTTTTTTTTTTTTTGTTTTTCAAAAAGCAGACTAGTCTCGGCCACTTTTATGGCAGTCATTGATTATGGTGATATTTTGTATAAATCGTCAATCACTAAACTTTGAAGCTCTTTGGATGCGTTGTATCATTGTGCACTTAGGTTTAGGCCTATACTAAATTGTAAATGCAATACTCATCACTGTGATCTGTAGGCTACAACAGAGTTGGTTGATCGTCATTATCAATACGCAGATGTAAACATTGGTACCTGTTTATTTATAAATCCATTCTGGGTCTACTGCCTCCATATCTTTGCTCTCTTACCCAACACGAACCTGTTGGAGTTTATTCTCTGCGCTCACAGGATTTATTCCCTCTCAGTTCCACTCGCCCGAACTGAATTTGGAAAACAAGCTTTTCGCGGCACCCAGTGATTGGAGAACTTTTTACAAAATGGCCTGAAATTGCAGACCCTGGTGTCAATGAATATTTGTTAATCTTTGCTTAAGCCCTATTCGCACGGGATAAGTATTACCTGGTGACCTCTAGTCATTTGTAATAATTGCGGAGTGCGAATCGGCCTTGTCTGTAATTTGTAACGTACAAATTCCTCCGCAAATGACCTACCATATTTTGTCGAACACCGAGGCCCTGTGATAAACAGTCCCTTGCGAATCGGCATCTCTGTGATTTGGCGGGGTTGAATATAATTTTTTCAAGGTTTTTGTTTCCCGTGCGCCTTTTATCCATCTTTTGTGAAGAATGGAGGCTGCGTTGGAGTGTTTTGATGGTATTTTGGGTGCTGGGTCGTATCGCTATACACCATACAACTACACAATTTGCAGAAAGAGAAAGCTTTTTTATTTTTTATTTTTATTTTGTGTGTTAATTTATTCTGAAACAATTTTCTCATCAGTGTTCAATCAGCTTTAATATTTAAATCACCATATTGTAATATCTGCACCTTTAAAGGACATCCCCTCCCCCAATATTATTAAATGTATGCTTCATCTTTCATTTTAAATTCCTAAATTTGATCAATAAATTCAATTATTTCGAATAATAAGACACTAGGGCTGTTACTATAGGGGCTGATCAAATTAAATCATTTACACTGAAAAATTACAATTGCATAACCAAATAATGTTATGAAATTGATTTAAATTTACATATAAGAAACGTTGGAAAGAATGATACTACTTTGAAACATTTAACACTAAACCACCAGTAGGTGGCGGCAGGCGATCGTCTTAATGAGTGAGTCATTGATTAATTCATTCAAACGATTCGTTCAAACGGCTGATTCATTCAAGAATGAGACAGATGTTTATGAATGGGTCATTGAATCTTTGACTCAATCGATTCGTTCAAAATGCTGAATAATTCAGTAATGAAAACAGGTTGAGTGTTTCATGCGCCGTGGTTCTGCTGTGATTTTTGTTTGGAACTATTTTCGCTGCTGAAACAGAACAAAAACAGCCTGTTTTAGGAAATCAATGTCACATTTTCAATCGTGATGGTGTTCAGGAAAAATAACTGAGGTTGCTTAACATATGTTAAAAATATAAAAACTCCACATTTAGATTTTTATAGGCAGTATGTTGTTAACTGAGTGTGTGTGTGCTGCGCTCATTTGTGAAGATTTCTGCTCGAGAGAGAGAGGCTGCGCGAGCGTCAACAGTGCAACCTTACCGTCAGTAATAGCAGAGACTATTTATATATACAAACTTGTAAACTTCTCATCTGGTACAGCATTGCACTTGTGACGTGAAGGTTCGGATACGAGTATAACACACGGGTCACTATAAAAGAGCTCAAAGACCAGAAGCAAACCAAAATTGAAGCATCAGCAAAATTCAAAGCCTCAGGTTTGCTTTAGTTACACTATCAGTTTTTTTTGTAGGTGGTAGCCTACATTATTTTCAAACGTGAAATAGCATTATCCTTTTAGCGCCAGTCACCAGACATTTCATTTACAAACTACCGTGATGCGCACAACAACAAAACCGTTGCCAGATTAATCCACTTTGGATACAACTCATTGGACATTTCACTTTGAATTTTGAAATTTGTGAGCCTAGGTTGTAGATTTTACAGCCTAGTAATTGGTGATTGTAACATTTTAATGTGTAATGTCATTCATATTTGTATAAGCTAGGGGTGTCCCCGACTAAGGATTTTCATAGTCGAATCAGATTCGTCAAGGCCTATAGTCGACTAATAGTCGAATCATGTGTGTGGTGTTGGGGAGGGGGCGGGGCTTTAACATTTTAAAGCCGCGATGTACAGAACATCACATAAAGATATAGAAGAAAATGTATAAAAACATTTTGGATCAATAAAACTAAGAAATAACATAAATAACTGCAGAAAGGCCACACTGCAGATAGGATTTGCATTTCACATGCAAATCAAATTAAATCGGCTGAATTGCCTGTACGAGCATGTTCTAAGTAGGCCTACAGCGCAACATCGATGCACTGAAAAATAATCAACAATTAAGAACACAATATAGGCCTACATTTATAATAAATAAAAATACAAAACGAAATAAGTCTCAAGTCACAAGAAGCAGAACAAATGTGTGCAAAATGCCTAAAGTGCAGGGGAACAAATATTCAAAACACAAGTCACAAATAGTTAAATTAGATCACCCTGAGTGATCAATTAATAAAATAAAAATAAAGAAATTATTAAAATAACGAAAGTATGGCCAGGATTGTCAACTTTGTCTTTTTAACTGCAGAAACAACAATAAACGCTAAACTGGAGCGGCAGTCTTTTTAGCTCAACATGTTCACAGTATCCAAAAATCAAATTAGAACCGGCTGAAATGTTTTGAAATCACTTGTACCCTACCCATACCTGATCGAGAAAACAAAATCCAGTCTTTCACTCGGCCTGTGTCTGTTTGAGTCTTTTCAAATTGTGTGCGCGGATAAAATACATTCTAAAACGCTTAACGTGAAAAACGCTTAACGGCTTTGTCCTAAAACTGTTATATTAAAAGATCAAATTCTATTCTGTACACACCTTATTAATAAAGCATAGCCTACTAAATAGCCTACAGAAAAGCAGATGAGCCCAGAATATGAACGCAACGCGTTTTATTACGTTTAGCATTTTCCTCCCATAGAAACGCGTTAAAGAAAAAGCTTTACGTGACTTTCTATAGGAGAAACGCGTTGCGTTCATATTCTGGGTTCATCTGCTTATCTGCACATGGAATTGTTTCTTAAGGTGTGTAGCCTACTGTGTACATACATTAAGCACGTTAAAGTGCCATTTAAGCGTTTTAAAAGCTTTTTTCACGTTAAGCGTTTTGGAACGTCCCGAGGAAAACCAACCTGTTAAGGTTGGCCGGCAGAAGTGCGATCATGGTTTTCCTGATGCTTAATCCAGCCTTGGAGAATATCCTTTCTGATGGTGTGCATCTTTAGATTTTCTTATCCCAGACATTTTTAAAGATTTAAATCCCTGCCGACAAGACGCTCCTCTGTCGGTCACGGATCGAAAGTGAAACTTAAATCTGTCACGGCCCGGGGTGTTTGGATTTATTCACGCTGCACGCACGTTAAAAAATATTTATTAAAAGCTTCTTTCTTTGCACATTTTTATTGACAGCATTATCATAATAGGCTGTATATTAACGTATTGACAGAAAACCAGTAGTTCTATGTGAAATCAGACATTGAGCACACTCATATAGCCAAAATGGCATAATCATCGTTTAATAACACATCTGCGAAGATTCGACCATGAGATTGGTAGTCGAATCAGGCTCCTCCTATCGAAGCATCGAATCTTCGACTATTCGGGGTCACCCCTAGTATAAGCAAATAATCGGTAACGTTTTTTGTATGCATTTTGATTTTGGGACAGAGAATGTTTATTCAGTTGATTCGGTAATGCAGAGAAATCCTTGTATATATAAGGAGAAGCTATTTTAACTGAGTCATATTTTATTGTTATTCCTTGATATCATCTATTATTCAGTATGGCTGCTATTCATGTCGCAGGCGAACACACACAGTGCATATAAGGCCTACTTTATCTCTTTTGGGAAGAAGTCATGTCCCTGCCAACGGAAATGGAGCATAATTAGACTAATTGGATCAATATCACTACATGATCGTATGATAAATGAATTAGCACTGTAGATTTTGGTGCAGGTGTTTCTGTCCTGCGGGATCTCTCCGTTGCTATTGTTTCATTTCTAATGATGCTCTTCTTTCACACCTTGTGATTTCAGTTTATGAATTGCTCTCGGTTCTCATTCTTCAGGCCGAGTGATTGTAAGTCGATAGATGTTTGCCTGAAATGAAGGTTGCTGCTGTTGCTGTGTGACTGGAGCAATTTACAATGTTTGATAATACGATGCCGTTTTCACCTCATTCATTGGTGATGTTGTTATTGGGTGCAGTTTTTTGCAGATCCATGCGCCAGCAGCCCCTGTCTCCATGGCAACTGTAGTCAGGACGGTGAGGGGGATGGGTTCGCGTGCGAGTGTAGTGAGGGTTACAGTGGTGTCCACTGTGACCTGCCAACCTTGACCTTTGACCTCTCCGAGTCCACCTGGGACCTCGCCACGCCGGCCACGCCCGCGACCACGACTCAAGGGTTTCAGCCAACCACAGTCCACACCACCACTCAAGCTCCGCCCACCCTGGAGCCGTGGCAACCCAAACAAGGTCAGAAAGTGGTGGAGATACTGTGGGAGGATCAGCAGGTGAGCAGGTGTGCGTTAGCATGCATAACGTGATTATGGCAATGCGTGTGCGTTTGTGTAAGCATGAAGTGTAATGATCCGGTCTGGAAGGCAGGGTGATTCCTGAGGGACGTTTATTTGTGTGGATGTGTGTTGTGTTGCAGATCACTGATGAAGCTGAGTGTGTGAGCACCGCAGGAGGCGAGTCTGCTGGAATGATGACCGTTTCCAGGGAGGTCGCTGAGGAAACAGCTGTGAAGTAAGACACTTCCTGACCTGTTTTTCTTGGGAAATGAGAATAAGATTTAATAGAAGAAGAGAGCTGTGGGTTCTGGGTGTGCACTTGGTTTGAAGTAAACTTTCATCTGTTGTTTCTGTGGCATATATGGCTATATTAGCAGCATAAACCATTTAAAAATTTTAAATGTTTAAATATTTTAAATTACTGAAAAACTTTAATATAGTACATTATTGAATATAATACATTTAATATGATTTAAATAATATAATAAATGTTTAATGTTGTACATTTTAATACAACTTTATTAAACAAAATATTACTATACTAAAACAATATAATATGATTAGTGCTGTCAAATTGCATCTAATATATATATATAATATAATATATATACATATACACACACACACACATATGTGTGTGTATGAGTATAATGATAGCACTAAATATAATATAATATAATGTTATATAATATATATACATACACACAAACAGACACACACACACACACACACGTGTGTTTATGAGTATAATGATAGCACGAAATATAATATAATATAATGTTATATAATATAAATGCATATACACATATATTATATATTTAACTTTATGTTAGATGTGAAATAATCATGATAATCTATTTGAAAGCACTAAATATAATATAATATAACACTATAACAGCTCTGACATTTAAATTGATTTCAAATCTTGTTCTTAACCATTACGTTCCCTTTGTACAGTTCACTGCATAATTTTCCTGTCTTTATTTCATTGAAATAAATGAAAAGTCGTGGATTTTTCTACATCTCTGTGTGTGTGTGTGTGTGTGTAGGTTGGTGGGTAATGTGAGCGGCTCTGCTGTACTGTGGCGTGTGGGTGAGGCTGGCTATGAGCAGTGCTCTGTTGCAGACGGCACCATCATGTGGTTCCAGCAGAGCTCAGACGGGCTGGTGCTGCCAGACCAGTCCCTGCCGTTCGGACACAACTACTTCATCAGTGAGTCATGTGTGGCTGAATGCACACAATGTGGAAGAAATGTTATGTATTTATAAAATGATTGACTTGAATTTAGGACTTTGCCTTTTAAGCGTCCTTGTGCACAATGCCTTGTTTGCAATTTAGATTTTTTCCACACACAATGATGAGATCTGCGAGTCTTTTATCTGACCCTGTCTGGTTCTGTGAGCCGAACAATGTCTGTCCTTGAGGCATTGCTGTGTGTGTGTGTGTGTGTGTGTGTGTGTACATGTCTGTTTATCTGAGTGTGTTTATGTCTGAGATGGAGAAAGCTGTTGTTGATGTAGCAGATGTTCGAAAATGCCTGAACCGACAAGGAAATTGTGTTTTGTAGGAGTTGCAAAAAATGTCTAAAATAATATGTTGAATGATATGATTTGCTTTATATAATAAATGTGAATCTAGATTTCTAGATGTATGGGTCTAGGTTAAGAAAAAACTGTGAAAGGTAAGTGTGTATATTGTGTTTGTACAATGTGGCTGAATTTTATCAATCGAAGTGTGTTTGTGTGTGTGTGTGTGTGTGTGTGTGTGTGGGTGGGGGGTGTTCAGGCTGGTAAACCCTACATTATGGGGATGGCAAAGATGGCAATATCCAAGTATCCAATTTTTTTGGTCCCAATATTTTTTTTTTGGTATGTTAAAATGCAGAAAGTTTTCTGTGATGGGTAGGGTTAGTGAAAGGGGATAGAATATACAGTTTGTCCAGTACGAAAATCATCATGTCTATGGAAAATCCCCATAAAACATGAATAGTTACTCTCTATTACGACTGTTGCTTGTTTTGTTGCTCTCGTCTCTTGTAGGTGTGCTGCACGTTGGGACACCCTCTGGTCCAGAAGTCACTTTGAGGCTTCATCTCATGGTAAAAACCAATAACTGCATCGAGCCCGGCAGTGGATTCAGTGACCCACAATGCTCCGGGAAAGGGAAATGCATCACCCAGTCTTCTGTGGTAATGACCTCATATCATAATTAGCATTACGTGTTATATTACAATCCTGAATTTGTGCTGTGGTTTTTCTCTCCAACATTAATTTTGTTCTACTTGTGTTCTCTCTGTCCAGAATGTGTGTCAACATTAAATTGCGTGTGTTTAAATGTGAATCGCAGGACACGTTTTACTGCCAGTGTGATGAGGGGTATTCTGGGATCTTCTGTGAGGAGTTTGACGCGTGTCACATGAAGCCCTGCGAGAACAATGGCACCTGTACTGACCTCAGACAGAGAGATGAAGGACAAAACTACAGCTGTACCTGCCAGACAGGTGTGTGTGTGAGCTTGTGTTTGTCAGGAAACGTGTCATTTGTGTCCGATGTGTGTCCCCTGCCCTGACGCACTGGTATAATTAACAGGATTCTGAACTTAGTCACATCATTTCATACATTTCACTGTTTAGAGTGCAATGCATGATAACTTTTAAAACAAATGTTTGTTTTGACTGGAATTATATCACATTTGCATGCCGCTTTTCATCAGTGAGTTATATAGGATAAAAGCAAAATCCAAACTTAGCCTACTTAAATAGTTTTTATTGAAACTAAAACATCATGCTTTCACTGTCTATATACTCTTTTCCAAAATGCTTGTAAGTTATTACTTATATTTTTTATATACGTATATATATATATATATATATATATATATATATATATATATATATATATATATATATATATATATATATATATTGCTGCATTTATTTGATCAAAATACAGTAAAAACATTGACACTGTGAAATATTATTATAATTTAAAATAACTGTTCTATATTTTACTATATTGTAAAATATCATTTATTTCTGTGATCAAAGCTGAATTTTCTGCATCATTACTCCAGTCTTCAGTGTCACATCTCACATGATCATTCAGAAATCATTCTAATATGATGATTTGTAGGGCTGGGTAAAAAATATCGATTTCTCGATATTAATCGATTCTCATTTTTACGAACCGATATCGATTCTTAAATCTCAAGAATCGATTAGTCATCCTGTTTTCATTTGATGAATGAATGGAACATTGTAGCGCGCATCCCATCCAATAAATCGCAATCATCTTTGTGCTTTGTTACTATTGATACTAAATCAAGTCTCAAATTTCAAATTACGTCCATTTTCTTACGAAATTCAAAACCATAAATACCGTTTTGGCGCTGTGGCGTGAGATCGCTCTGGCTCAGCTCACCTCAAGAGAAGCAGCAGCGCGGAGCGCACATTATCTCCTCTTCCGCCTTAATAATACCAGCTACAGCGCGAAATAAACATGAATGAACGTCTGAAAGTGTGTTAAAAGATAGAGTACAACTTATCGAAATCCGTATCATGTCACATGGAATCGCTCAATCAGTGTTTCAACCGTGGAAAGACGTCAGTAAAACAACTTGTAAACAATGTAACGTCACATTTACCTCAGAAAAACCATATGTGACCATTTAAACTCGTTAGTCAGCTTGAAAAATTAACTCTAAAGAGGAGCATTTTGCTAAATATATGCACCATATTACATATTCATTATAATGTTTAATGTTCTTCGATATTTAATGCATGTTTGAATAAATCTGTCAAGTTTTTATGACAGCCACCATTTAAATGTTTATATTTCATATAACTTTATTATTATGAAAATAAATAAAAGTGTAATTTAAGTGTTTGTATAGCTACAAATCAGTTCATTTTAACCTTCAATATTATAGTAGGCTAATGAAGCCTAGTAGGCTACAACTGACTCCCATAGTTTACAGCATTAGTTAAGAGATTTGTTTTCCTTGAGAAAATTTGCCATGTATTGTACCTGATATCCAAAATAAACAATATTGAATCGAATCGGAATCGAATCGAATTGCAAGCTTGTGAATCGAAATCGAATCGAATTGTGAAATTTGTGTCAATACCCAGCCCTAATGATTTGCTGCTCAAGAAACATTTATGATTATTAACGGTATAGTACGGTATGGAAGCTAGTTTCATTATATTATAAAAAAATAAAAAAGGTAATTGTGACTTTTTATCTCACAATTCTGATTGTTGGTTTTTTCGCAATTCGAGTTTACATCTCGTAATTAATTTTTTTTTAATAAAGTTGTTATAAACTGTGAGTTATAAAGTCAGAATTGTATGATACAAACTCGCAATTGCGAGAAAAAAAAAGATAAGAAATCTTTCAAATTGTTTTGTTCCGTAGCGGAAACAAGCTTCCATAGTACGGAGACCCTAAAGGGACATGGTGGAGGAAAAAATATGAAATGGGAGGAAAAATAGTAAGCCAATGCTTTTGCGGTCCCCAGAGAAACTTTGTGTTCCCTCGCAAAACCTTTGTGTTCTTTGTGAGTGAACGCAAAGTTTCTCGGCGGAACGCAAAACATTTGCAAGAGAAGCCAAAAGCATTGACAAATAATTTTTCCTTTATCTCATATTTTGTTTCCTTCACCATGTCCCTTTAGGGGTTTCGTAGTGTTGTGATAAATCTGAAAAATATGAAAAAGATTTATATAAAAGTTGATATTTTTGTGGAAACTTTTGCTTTTTAAAATTTTCTTTGATGAATGGAAAGTTCAAAAGGACCGCATTAAGTGTTATTAGTGTTGCTGTAAAATGCAATTTCCCTATTTAGTTATTCCTACGAAGACATTCAAAACATTAACATGAAATAGTTCTAAACATTCGCACAACATGAATCTAACAAGAAGCAATGTCCTTATGAATTGTGAATCTGCCGTCTTGAATGAGCATGCGCATAACAGGGAGTAATGGAGGTTAACCTTGAGCAGAGCTGGAATACTCTGAAGAGGCTTTAAATGGAAAGATGGGGCTGGGGAAGTAAATGGGAGATGAAGAACAAAACAAAGCGTGAGCAAGAGACATTGAAGGTCGGGGATGATCAAAAGCCTTTGATCGTGGAAATTAAGATTATTTTGATCCTGCATTTAAGTTATTTAAAGCCTTCCAGATGAAACAACTGTGCCTTTTTTAAGACATGTTGTCATGGACATGCGGATTGCAAAACATGTCTATTAAGCGCTAGAGGAAGCACACAAACACACTAACACACACTGTTTACTGCTCTGACCATTTTTGTAAGAGGATTATTGAGAACACAGGAGGGCATAAATGATGTTAATTGGCTGTGTTGTAAGAAAAGCAAACAGCCTGCTTTGGCCGACTGACTCGTGCTGGTTTATAACTGAAAGCTTTGTTCAAGTTTTTTTTCCACAACTGTTTTTATGTGAAGGATAGGAACAGATTGTGTTTTCTGTGTGTGGTTTTGTCTACATTATGAGGACCAAATGTCCCCAAAAGGATAGTAAAACCTGAAATCACCAACATCCCATTGAGGAAACCAGCTTAATAAACAATTAATAACGTCATAATGAAAAAAAATGTAATTTGTTTGTGTGTGAGGGTTCGTTTTAGGGATAGAAATATCTTAAGCTCAGTATAAAACAATAAAAGTCAATGGAAACATTGCATTAACATTGAATGTTACATTGTTATTTCATGCACTGGTAAATTTTGAGATTTGGATTTTCATCAAACTAGTGGGAGGAAAACATCCCAAATATACTTTGCACTTTATTTACACCCGTAGATTTCAATTACAATTGATACTGTATCTTTAAAGGCTGTTTTCTCGAAAAGAAATGTGTCAGAATTTCAGTAGCACTTATATATACCAAACTTTACAGATTTATTCTTTATTTACATCAGTTTTTACTGAAGGGTTTGTTCATGTATACAATTTGCCTGATTGTATTCAAAATTGTATTACTAAAACCATGATGGTTGTTCACAGTATTTTCTGATTTATAAAAGGGATATCTAAAATCCCCTCTGTGAAAACTCTTTACTTTAATATGTCAACAAAATGAAACACGAATTTTGAACCAGGCTTTATCCAATGTTCATGTATGCAAGTTAGTGCATATTTAATTATATAATTAAACATAACATTTCAGAAAACGTGTAATACAATTTGGGTAACACTTTATTTTAAGGTGCTTGTAATAAGCAGTAATTAACAGTTAATAAGACACTTATAAGACCTTATAAGATGCATATAAGATGCATATAAGCATTAACTACTTCATATAAGGGTTAATTAAAGGTCCAGGCCCTGAAGAGATCAGGGAAACTACTCCCTCTTGGGAAGGTGCATTTTTAAGTGACTGGGAGTTTGTGTTACCATTTATGTTTGTCCGGCTGTTCTAAAAGTGCAATGTATTGATACTTGAGAAATGTATTATTTAATTTAATTTATTTATTCTCATTAGTTAATGCTTATATGCATTTTATATGCATCTTATAAGGTCTTATAAGTGTCTTATTAACTGTTAATTACTGCTTATTACAAGCACCTTAAAATAAAGTGTTACCCAATTTTGTTTTGCACTTCTTAATGCAATTGATCAACTGTGGTGATATCTAGTTAAATGTTTTACCCTATTCATAAATTCAGATGTGTTATGGCGAACTGAGATATACAGTAATAATGCAATGTGTGGTTGGTCCTGGTAAATACCTGGTAATACCAGAAATCTTTGATCTTGTAGGGACATTTTTTGGTCCCCATGAGAAAAAAAAAGCTTTTGAATCATGTTTTTTGAAAATATAAAAATGCAGAAATGTTTCTCTGATGAGTAGATTTACGGGGAAAGATTTAAGGGAAGAGAATATACAGTTTGTACAGTATAAAAATCTTTATGTCTATGAAAACCCATCGCGTGTGTGTTTTAGGTTTTGAAGGAGAGCGTTGTCAGTCGTTGGTGGATCACTGTGTGTCTGGACCCTGCAGGAACGGGGCCACCTGCTCCAGCAGCCTAGAAGGCCCTCACTGCTATTGTGCTGAAGGTACTTATTAATAGCCTCGTCTCATGAAATCACGTCTGACACAATCAAATCTGTTGTGTGTTCTGCTTGGTGTGTATGTTTGGAAGTGTATGTGTGTGTTAAGCTTGAGTCGTCCTGATTCAAGCTCTATTTCTGTCCCTTCTCGCTCTCTCAAAGTGTGTCAGAGAGCTGCTTATTATAAACTCTCTTCTTTTTCTTCCAATTAATCGTGAAGCGCGGCACAGCTCCGCCCCCTCTCTCAGGAGGACACACACCGTTCCTTCAGCGATGGCTCTCTCTAACCAGGGCAGACTCTCAGTCAGCAGATACAACAGGGACACAACCACTCCTGCTTCCCGAAGAAGCACTAAACACAGTTAGGAACGGAAATTTGATAGCTGTTTCTTGAACTTTGGAGGCGGAAATGCACTCGTAGGCTGAAATATTAATCTTGTGGTGTGAAGTGGGACCGTAAGCCACCGTTTGAAACGCAAGGAACGCTGAAACAATAAGGAAAGTGGCACTATTAGCACATTTTTAATTAGTGTAGTACAGCTCAGGGTACGGCTTTTAATATTTCAATAGCCACGTGAGGCACTTAATAGCTTTTTCTGCAAAACATCCATTCAAACTCTACAGGGCAATAGAAACGAGAGCATGCTGCAATGAAAGGCGTTCGGCTGGAATAACCTTTAGTTTCTGTCATTTCTTCCAAAGTAGCGACATTCAAAACAGGGAAAGGCACATGAGACTCAAAAATGTTATAATCATCTACATTTCCTTTCAAACCTGCGTGATTTTATTTTTCAATGTAACACAACATGATCATTTTTTTATTTGAAATCTTCACAAAGCAGTTTATCATACAATAACAGTTCTTAGTGTGTGCATTCATGAATTGCTAAAAACGCGCCATGAAAGTAGTCCAAATTACTCATGCACTATAAGTTTTAAGCCATACAATGAATTTATGTACGAAACAGACTGAAATATGAGTCATTATTTGCTTCTTTCGCTGAAGAAATAAAATATTTGTGTGATGTTTGGTGTCCGTGAGGTTTTTTCATGAGACGCTTGACAACAACAACGTGTTCTCATGTTCAAACTGACATTATTCGTCAAAAGGCGCCTTGTTTGATTTGATCCTACGTGTGCATTTGACTTCAGAAAAAAAAACGACATGGCGCACAAGTCAGATGGTGCTGGTCATGGTCATAGTTTTTCCTTTTGTGTTCCACAAAAAAAAGAGCATATGTGTTTGGAATGACACACAAATAATAATGAATAAGCAATGACAGCATTTTCATTTCTGGGTGAACTATTTCTCTAATACTGGCAGTGAAACACAATGATGTTGCCTCAGTCAGGCTGTGAGAGTTTCATTAAGATAATGCATGAAAGCTCCTCCGTAAGGGAAACAGTGGTGGGCGGATGAGCACTGAGCTCTATTGCTCTGCGTGTGATTGACTTTTATTGGGGGGATCATAGCAACCAAGCTTGTAATCTGCTGGTGCGTGCATGTCACTGAGACTACAAATGCACAAAAACACAAACACATACCCAACATACATGTACATGTGTGTGTTTTAAATGTGTTTAGAATTGAACATTAACCAAGATTAATAAATGCTGTAAACGCATTGTTCATCGTTACTTCATGTTATTATGTTAACAAATGCTGACATTAGTTCTGTACTTAAAGGAATGTTTTGTGTTCAATATTAATGCATGACCATATTCTACATCCTTAAGCCTACCCTATACTTAAACTTAACAACTACATTACTAACTATTTATAAGCAGTAAATAGGAGTTTATTGAGGCAAAAGTCATGTTAATAATTAGGTAATAGTGAGAATTGGACCCTAATCTAAAGAGTGACCAAACTTATTACTATACTAATGTACTTGAATGGATTGTACCAGGTTCAATACAATTTAAAGGGATAGTTCACTTTGGAATTAATTTTTGGTATGTTTTAGCTTACCTCAAGGGCATCCAAGATGTAGGTGTTTTTGTTTCCGCAGAAGTTTCAATTTTGATATTTTTAGGTCAAACCGTTCTTGTCTGTCAGTCATATAATGCAGGTCTATGGTCACCACCTCAAAAAGCATGCGCAGAGAAGTCCAAATTAAACATGATTTAATGACTCGTAAATGTACCAAAAATTAATTTCAAAGTGAACTAATCCCTTAAAAGGGATACTCCACTTTTTTTGGAAATAGGTTCATTTTACAACTCCCCCAGAGTTAAACTGTTGAGTTTTACCGTTTTCGAATCCATTCAGCCGATCTCCGGTTCTGGCGGTACCACTTTTAGCATAGCTTAGCATACATCATTGAAGTGGACAAGACCATTAGCATTTCTAAAAAAAAAAATGACCAGAGTTTCGATATTTTTCCTATTTAAAACTTGACTCTTCTGTAGTTACAACGTGCACTAAGACCGACGGAAAATGTAAAGTTGCAATTTTCTAGGCTGATATGGCTAGGAACTATACTCTCAGTCAAGAATAATCAAGAAACTTTACTGCCGTACCATGAGTGCAGCAGGCGTAATGATATGACGCAGCGCCTGAAAACCTAATTTGCTGACTGAAACTACACAAACTTAGTCCCAGTCACATTGGAAGTTACCGAGCTGGGGACTATTTTCAGGCGCTGCGTCATATCATTACGCCTGCTGCACTCATGGTACGGCAGTAAAGTTTCTTGATTATTACGCAGGACTGAGAGTATAGTTCCTAGCCATATCAGCCTAGAAAATCGCAACTTTACATTTTCCGTCGGTCTTAGTGCACGATGTAACTACAGAAGAGTCAAGTTTTAAATAGGAAAAATATCAAAACTCTTTTTTTTTTTTGAAATGCTAATGGTCTTGTCCACTTCAATGATGTATGCTAAGCTATGCTAAAAGTGGTACCGCCAGAACCGGAGATCGGCTGAATGGATTCAAAAACGGTAAAACTCAACAGTTTAACTCTGGGGGAGTTGTAAAATGAGTCTATTTCCAAAAAAAAGTGGAGTATCCCTTTAAGTTGCACATAGATTAGCACAGAAAATAATTAACTCATCTGTAAGTTTGAAAAAAGATCAGATCAGATGTTACAGTAAGCTCAATTATTGATTGTTGTAACATTGAGGATTATTTTCTGTGGTAATCAACAGTCACATACAGTATGCTGAATAAAGAGACATCCTTCAAGTACAGAATTCATGTAAACATTTAAGATATGTTGTAAACATACAATGAACTGCTTTTAAAAATAAAAATGTATTTAAACCCTCCCCTTCAAAGCTCACACTGATCTGTCTTCACTTTTAAGTGCCACATCCACATCTCAACATCTGATGCATAGAAACAAGTCCCGCCCTACAAGTTTATTCCCCGATAATCCCTTACACTCAAATGTACGTCACAATACGGAAGAAAGATCTGTCACTACTTCCGTTTCATCAAGACTTTAAATATTAGCAGCATCTGTCAAATACGATCTCAGTCATTGTTCTCATGGGTTCTGCATCTTTAAATAGAAGATGGACTCTCGCATTCTTCATGGCATCTTCTCTAGCTGTTTTTAGGTTGAAGGCTAAATGATTCCTATCGAATGGACTGTATCAGATTCAAACGGGTCTCTTTATGCATTAGTGCACACTTTAGTCTCTTCACCCTTTCTCCTTCTCTTTGTTAGAGTATCAGGGCTCCACGTGTGAGCAGAAGATGGATCCCTGTGCTTCCGGGCCCTGCCATAATAATGCCAGCTGCTCCCCACAGGGCTCTGGTTTAGGCTACAGCTGCACCTGTCCTGCGGGCTACACCGGACCCACCTGTGCCCAGCTGGTGGACTTCTGCGCCCTCAACCCATGCGCTCACGGCATCTGCCGCAGCGTCGGTACTAGTTATAGGTGCCTGTGTGTTCCAGGTGAGGATCTCGTCTGCTTCCGCTCGTACATTAGCTGGTTCTCTCCCTTCACTCCCTCCAGTTGTCATGGCAACTGCCTCCTGTGTATTGCGTGCTCAGACATCATTGTCTGTGAAGTGTGACTGCAGCAGCTGTGCAGACAGATCAGTCTATCCACTGATATCACCCCGCTCTGATAAGACTAAGAGGTGTCCGATGGGACCGCTGTGTTCTCCAGTGGGACTGCAAATAATGCTCAGTGGGATTGCGCTATGCAGACGACACTTCTCTCTGGAAACAACTGCCCGGTGGGATTGCTGTGCTTTGCGCACTCATTGAAAACAAAATGGTCCTCAGCGAAATGAATTGGCAAATTATTTAATAGCAGCATTCAGGGCTGTATATACTATAATACTTTAATAGTATACTATGATATAGTTTTTACACGTACACTAGGATATGCGTACAGTAGGGGTTGGATCGACTAGTTGACTTTAATGCTCTGCCATGGCGCTTTAAACTTGACGTCGACTAGTCGCTGGTCATGGCCTATCCACCTTATTCTTACGCCCCATGATGCTTTGCGCGAATTATGGGTGTAATTAGTTAAGCTGTAAACAATCAGCGAAAGGCTCGCTCTTTGAACGCAATAGGCTACGTTAAAAGTGTCAAAATGAGATACCATTAATCTACTCACCCTTCAACCATCGAACATTAAAAGGAAATTTAAAAGTGTAAAAGCATCAAAAAGGTAGGCCTACTTTCAACAGACCTAATAACCCCAAAAGCGCGAGTCTTTGGTTAAATATCACTGCAGTAGGCTAATATCTGTATTATGAACTTATGTTGCCTTAATCAAAAATGTTCATTAACTTCAGCATTACGTGATACTATTTCAAAGTGATTTCCGTCATTTTGACAGATTATAAATTGCATTTACCTGTGAACACAAACCTGGAAAGAGGCGTGAGGATTTGAGGAGAATAACGAGAGAGACTCTTCGTGCATTCCAGTGAATTATTAATGGAATATATCGGAGAACATGCCACAAATGTGCAGTTTATGTTGTCCTTTTTCATACGTTTACAGCTTTGCAAAGGGAAAAAAGAAAATAGTCATGAGGAAAAGAAAGCAGCGACTGAAAAGAGCTCCTGCCACAGATAGCCTATTCTTGTTATACTAAAATGTCACTTTAAAATACCAAGTATGTTCTCATGATGTCTGAAAATAAATCATGAAGGAACATTGACAGCTCATCCATTCAAACTGACGGATCAGCTTTATTTGTAGGGCAACCTTATGATTTGAAATGATTCGTTTCGTTTCAGCCTTTTTGAATGGAAGTTCCCCAAACCGGAAGTGCCACCCATAATTGAGCGCTACAGGATAAGCCATTTCCTGACACTCACGCTCCGTTTCCAACAGTTAAAATGACAAATAAATGCATATAGCCGACTCTGTGAGCTCTCCTTAAGACATGTTTGATTATATCATCTGGATGCTCAAAATTGATTGGGAGAATGCACGTTTGAAGCCGCTGACACACTTAACGACTGTAAGGCCAATTATGAATTTAATTTGATACTTAGGCTATGACTGCATGCCGAAACGGGCCGAGTTAGAGACAGTTGCGTTCAGTCGGTGTTCCCAGTTGGTGTTTAAAATCTGCTTCAGTCGTTGGAAACAGTCTGTAAGTGTGTTCAGGTCAGTCATGTTTCAGCTAGTTGTGTGTCCCCAACATTATAGTTAATCGGCGTTCTAAACTAATGCGTGCTGCATTGTTACGCACAAACATAGATAGCTCGCACTGTTCTGTGATTTATCAATGAAATAGCTTAGAAACTGAAGAGTTCTAGCATATTTTTTCTTAGTAACTAAAACCCACAGCTTCACTATATTAATAGAGAGACACTGTCAGTTAGAATTAATTCACACACACACTCACTCACTATGCATGGGCGTAGATTACGCGGGGGGGGGGGGGGGGGGGGGGGCGGACTTTTTATACAATGTAAATTCGTCCCCCGCACTTTTTCATAGGGCAAGTGTGTCAACGACAAGGTGAGGTTTTCACGGGTGTGTATACATCGATATTTAAAATCAAAAGAGTCAAGGATAGTCTATACGTGACTTTCACGTTTCCATGGTAATCAGTCACTCGTGCATTAGCTTACGACACGCCCGCACCCGCGCCGAATCCATCAGTTTCATAGAGTTCAAAATGGCAAAAAACTCTTCACTCCTTTTTCACTAAAAAGTCAAGCACTGTAAGTAAGTTGTCATGTAGTATCCGAATTGTGTTGCACAATGATGAATAACAACGCCTATTTCTCTTGTTGAATAATTAACAGGTTTTGTTGTAAATGACCCGAACAAACATGCAATATTTTCAATCTTTTTTTACTCGTAATGCATTTTATTTTCACAGATATGTTATCAAAGCCCGTCAAATTAGAATAAACATGGTGAATGTTAAAGGTTCTCTAAGCGATGTCGGGTGACGTCACTTCTTGTTGACGTTTAAAGTATTGTCAAACAAAACGGAGGCTAGCTAGACCCTCCCTCCTCCTCATCCGCACACTAACCCCCCAAACCCCGCCCCCAAGTCCTTCTTGTCGGTGATTGGCTGGAACTGTTTGTCATGTTTCGTGGAGCGGGTTAGCCCAGTTTGTTTTTGTTGCTGTTTGTGGAGCCTGGGCTGTCTACAGAGATCGCGTTTCTTTACAGTGTGTTCAGGGGACAGGCAGCCAGCGGATAGTGAGGAGATGTTTGCTGTATGTGACAAAAAATGTTTTGGCCTAAAAAACGCGTGACATCGCTTAGAGCACCTTTAATGCTGAATTTGTATTTTCATGCATTAACAGCCACGATCTGCTTGAATCGGGCAGCGTTGTAACGTGTACATGATGTTTATCATAATTTGGTAACACTTTACAATTAGATAAAAAAAAGTTTGTAGACAAACTTTAAGTTCTCTTGAAAAAGCCTAACTAGAAAGTTTGTAGTAGTTTTAAAAGCTTGAAGTTTGAAGGTTTTCAATTGGAAAGTTTTAGTTTAGTAAGACAGACTTTGTTTAGGCTAGTAAGAAAATGTAATTTTGCCAAAAGAAGAACTTTTATTTTAAGTAAATGTTATTTTTAAATCAGCTTCAGTGTGATATTTAACCATATTATCATGCTTAACACTGATAATTTGAATAATTGTAATGCGATGATCAGATATCTAAATCAGAGAATATCATATGTTTGGGCAGTTGGATTATTTATTGCTAACAGTGGATTCGGGGCACTCAAAGTGCACCAGATTAGTGAATTTATCTTTAAAATGTACAACATTTTCTTTCAGGGGGGGCATGCCCCCGGACCCCCCTAGAGGTACAGAGATCCACCTACGAAAATACTGTGGTAACACAGTAGACTATATGATGGTCTATGAAAAATACACATTTTATTATCTTATTAAAATACATGATCAGGATGTTACCACCTTCGCCTCATTTTAAGCCAGGAAAAACCCTGCATGTGCAATATAAAGTACTGGACAACTTTCTTTCTTTTTTTTCTGCTTTATTGCTTTAAAATAAATAGCATATTAAGCCAATTAAGCAAAAATCTGTCAACAAAAGTCTGAAGAAAAATAAAACACATTACACTTGACATTCTGTCCCCCTCACTTTTGAAATGATGGCTACGCCCCTGCATTCATATAAATGTAATTGTTACTGTGCCACTTTATCTCTGTCTGATTTAGAACGAGCAGAAATCTGTGAGAAATATAGGCTACCGATTTTTGTAAACGCGCACACATGCGGCTTGATTTTTTTAGTGTGTTCACAAGGGAGCAGCACTGGCCTAGTCCCAGACAGCTTCATGGTCGAAAAAGAAACATGCAACAACTAATAGAAATGCAGAAACAATATAGACTTGTGTTTCCGAGCGCTTACGTTAGGGGGTTTAGAGACATGCTACTCGTGAGTCGCAACTCTAGTTTAAACGAGTACTAAGACATTTTTATTGGTCATAACTTCTGGAGAGCACATAGACTTTCTAAAACTTTCTAACTTTCTGTGTTTGTGCACGCTATCAAATGTCATTTTCATCAACAGCGTAGTACGCATACACATACGCGCGCAACGTGTTTCTTCTAACCACACGCTCTGTACGTTCAGCTCCCACATGAGGCTTGACTAATTCATTTGCACTAATTCAGTTGTGCACAAGGGTGTTGCAACACTAGCTGTTTCACAGTCAAACAAGAATTGGAGAAGATGGAACAACAATAGATGCCTGTGTTGACAAGCACTTGTGAAGGGGAATTAAGAGATATCCATAACTCTAGTTTAAACGAGTACAGAGTGCTATTTTTGTGCTAATTAGTTGTTACACAAGGTGGCAACACTGGCCCAGCTCGTTGTTTCATGGTCGAAAAAGAAATATAAGAGAGTGAACAACAACAAATACTGACTAACTACCGGAGGCTGCAACAATAGACGTCCATGTCACCTGTTAAAAAACAAAACATAATCATGTATTAAAGACAGCAAGTGTTTGAGCATGTCTAATGTACAGGGGCAAACTTTTCCAGAGCTTGGGTGCCGCCACTGCAAATGTTCTGTCACCCCTGCTCTTCAACTTTACCCGTGGGACAGCTAAGAGCGAATGATCAGCAGACCTAAAGGCCCTTGCACACTGAGTCCGAAAATTTCGTATGTGTTTTTTAGTATTCGTGATTCGGTGGCTCTGAATTGTCAAAACACCATTCAAACTGCTTGCTACGGATGCGAAAAAAACCCGCAGAAAATCGAACCCGATCCGATTTTTTATGACGGACGAAAGTTTCGGAGGCAGTGTGCAAGCGTGATTGACATAACGTGAGGTCGTATTCATTTTTTTACGTGCGAAAATTTCGGACGCGAATTTCGGGCTCAGTGTGCAAGGGCCTTAAGTGCTTTTGGCGGAGCATACGGCTTGATCAGGTCAGAAAGATAGGGATTTAAAAACAAACACCAAAATCTTAAAATGAATTCTGAAATGCACAGGTAACCAGTAAAGAGAAGTGAGAACAGGTGTAATGTGTACCCGTCAACAGGCGAGCTGCCGCATTCTGAACCATCCGCAGTCTGGAGAGAGAGAGGCCTGACTAATGCCTATATAGAGGCCATTACAAAAATCCAGACGAGATGAGATGAAAATATGAACAAGTCTTTGAAAGTCTTTAAAAGACAGGAAAGATTTCACCTTGGTGAGTCGTCTCAATTAGAAAAAACTATCTTTAACTACCGAGTTAATCTGTTTGTCCAATTTAAAATCACTATCCATAATAACACCAACATTTTTTTAACATAGGGCTTCACAAGTGGATTCAATTCACAAAGTTCCAAATGTATTGACTCATAAGTGCCTCCCGGTGTAAACAGCATAACTTCTGTTTTATTTTCATTAAAGCTAAGGAAATTTAGTGCCACCCAGGCCTTAATTTCCTCAAGACACTGCAGTAGAGGCGCTAAAGTGGGAGTATTTTTTCGTTTCGAAGGTAGATAAATTTGCGTATCTTCTGCATAACAATGAAAAGAAATACCAAATTTCCTAAAAATATGTCCTAAAGGGAGCATATACAGGGAGAACAAAATAGGCCCCAAAATGGAGCCCTGGGGGACCCCACACGTGAAATAAGCCGTTGAGGAGATAAAGTCTCCAAAACGAACTGAGAAAGTTCTATCAGACAAATAGGATCTAAACCATGCCAACGCAGTACCCAATATACCAACACATTGTTCTAAGCGTGTAATCAAGATCTTATGGTCTACAGTATTGAATGCAGCCGAAAGGTCTAGTAAGATTAAAATAGCACAGTTCCCTGAGTCTACTAGTAAGTAACAAGTCATGAAAAACCTTCATCAGTGCAGTTTCTGTACTATGTAGGGTTTTAAAACCAGACTGAAACACTTTGTGAATACCATGTAGATCTAGAAATGAATTCATTTGTCCAAATACGACCTTCTCCAGTAGTTTGGACAGAAACGGAAGTTTCGAGATTGTTCTAAAATTAGCAAAGACTGATGAATCCAGATTAGATTTCTTAATTACTGGTTCCACTGCTACAAGGATCAATATACACACAATACACACACAAAAATAAAATTATCAGTCATCTGTGTCATCAGTTTGCTCCTACTCACATTCTGTAAACCCCATCAAAACGAAACACTGCTCTCTAGTGGAGAAAATGCAGGAATATTCAAGGTGAAGTGCAGCTTAAAGGGTTATTTCACCCAAAACTGAACATTTTGTCATTAATTACTCACTCTCATGTCGTTCCAAACCTGTAAGACTTTCATTCAACTTCAGAACACAAATGAAGATCTTTTTGAGGAAGTCTGAGAGCTTTCTGTCCCTCCATTGACAGCTACACAACTTCCACTTTCACTCTTCAAAACGTTGATAAAGAGACCGTACAACAAATCCATATGAATCAAGCGTTTTAGTCCAAATTTTTTGAAGAGACACGATCACAATGAAAACATTGAATTTAGGATTTTATTAATTCATTTATTTTTTAACTTTTTTGGGTGAACTATCCCTTTAAGCTCTATCGACCCCATCTATGAAATGCTGTTGATCGCCACAGATCATAATTTAGTTTTTTTTTGTCTGTCCTCTTAGGTTATCACGGTCTGTACTGTGAGGAGGAGTATAATGAATGCTTATCTGCTCCCTGTCAGAACTACGCCACATGCAGAGACCTGATCAATGCCTACGAGTGCATCTGCGCCCCACAGTTCACAGGTGCGTTCTCTTCTCGAGCAGGACTGTGCCTACATTTCATGTACATTTAATGCATCTGGGCTTAAAATGCCAGTAAAATGACATAATTAAAAGGATCGATGTGATGTGGGTTATTTCAGGTAAGCACTGTGAGATATATAGAGACCCCTGTCTGAAACTCAGGTGCCAGAATGGAGGACATTGTGAAAGTGGAGGGAGAAACGCATCCTGTGTGTGTCCACCAGGATATATGGGTAAATATTAGTGTTTATTTATGTTTTTATGACTACTTATACTAATTCTGCAGTACGTAACATGCCTATTGTGTAAAGCATGCTAATTTTCTGTATGCATGAAATACCCAGATACCAAGTTGTGTCCCAAATGACACACTATACACTATGCACTTATACATCATATATGCACTCATCCGTGTAGTGTATACATTTTTTGGGGGGTTTTTTCCGGTTAATTAAGTGCATCATCCGGGTATTTAAAGAGTACTTTTTTATTTGGGATATAATGAACACACTACTCGCACCATTTATACAAAAGCACCAGAGAATATGGAGGACACACCTCAATATTCCACACTTTTTTCTCTCGATTAATTAAGTGCATCATCCGGATACTTAAAGTGCACTTTTTGCAGCTATACCCATTGTGTTTTTTGAGGGGACTGCTGATAGTAGGGCTTTTAATCACTTTGTAGGTGAGAACTGTGAGGTTGACGTCAACGAGTGTGAGAGTAACCCATGTCATCATGGCGGCACCTGCATCGACCAATCAAATGGCTACACCTGTCACTGTCCTCCTGGCTGGGTCGGTGGAAGCTGTGAGATCCGTGAGTTTATGTTGACCTTCTGACTACACTACACTTCCCACTACAACAGCTCTCACAATTATGGCGAGGAGAGAAATATGGAGGGGATGATGGAGAATTGCCTCCAGATAGGATTTTATTTACAACGAAAACATATAAATTAAATGGTTCCCATTTTATATTTAGTGTCTTTAGCTACCCTTAACCATATCACACCTCAATAGCAATTTGCAATACAACTTGAACAACATAATACACTTTATTTTAGTGACCCTGTTACACTTCTTACATGTAGTTACTATGGTTAAAAGCAGGGCTTGACATCAACTTTTGTGCTCATCAGCCACTGTGGCTAGTGGTTTTCTAAAGTTGCAAGCTACTCAGCATTTTCACTGGCCACTTTTTCTTACATCGATACCATGGGGAAAAACTGCCATATAGATATTTTTAATATTATCTCCTATTTTGGCATCAGGTATATTAGGCTGCTGTCACTTTAAGACCTGACGCACAGATCCATTATACTGTTACACATGCGTTTTCTCTTCTCAACTGTTTACGTTCACTTAAAACATATCCGACTGTTTATGTGAATACTTGCCAAAACTGGCATTTTGACATTATTTTCTGTGTATTTGACTGTTTAAGCGCAATAAGCAGAGAAAAGAACTCACTCACAAAGTCTCAAAAGAACGACTTGTGTGTGTGTGTGCACTTTGGGTGTGAAGCGTTTTAGATATTTCAGTATCAATATGTATCGAAAAATCTATATTTTTGACAACACTTCATTGCACCTAGTTTATTTTTTCAGATACCTTTTTAAAAGACTACAATTGAAAAATGTATATATTATATAGCCTATAAAATTTGGCGGGTGTTCATTTCAAAGCCCTGGTTATAACAATAAATTATGCATAATTACAAGCAACCAATTCTAATCCTAACCCTATAGTAAGTACATGTTGTTAATTAATATTACTCAGTATTTGTATAATTACACTGAAACAAGGACACCTTTCAAATAAAATGTAACCGTACATTCTACCTAACCCTATGTTCCACTTAAAAACGTCTTATATATAGTGTGACCTTAAAAGTGACCATGGAGGTAGTGACTTAAAGGGACATGCTCTGCAGTTCAGTCATTTCTCCATCACGACGTAGGCTTCAAGGACACATTATGTATGCAGGGGTAGAGATCGGTTCCCTGAGGAGTGACGTGCAACTGCCTTTTATGGCAGCTGTGACTCGGCACCATTAGCTTCTGTGAGCCTCGTCACGCTCTGCCAGCGAGAGACGGGACGACTGTGACGTGTGGAGAGGGGGAGCCACATGACTCGCTCCCCATTCAGAGATTTTCATGAATAACCCAGCGTGTTTATGGCTGTGCGGATGTCCTTGCTAGCTGACACTTGTCTGTGCTTGTTATATATATAATGGTTTTGTGACGACTAGCATCTTGTGGTTAAATACTATCCATGGTTTTGTGACTAGCAAACTAGCATTTTGTCAGCTAGACTGAAATTAATGAATAAACTAGATTTTTTAAGAAAGTTTGAGTGGTTCTTGCACACACCACCATGCTAGGATGGTGTTCTGGATGGTTACTACGAAGCATTGAGTTTTTCAAACGAGAACACAATCACATTTTCTTTTCTCTCTTTCATCATCATTGTCATTTTCCTCCTCGCATGTCCTCTCTCAGATCTGCAGTGGAAGATGGCTCAGCCTGTGGACTCACTGACCAACATGCCTCGTCACTCTCTGTACATCATTATCGGAGCTCTGTGCGTCGCTTTTGTCTTGATGCTCATCATCCTGATCGTTGGCATCTGTCGCATCAGCCGTATTGAATACCAGGGCTCGTCCCGTCACGCCTACCAGGAGTTTTACAACTGCCGCAGTATTGACAGTGATTTCAGCAATGCTATCGCCTCCATTCGCCATGCAAGGTAAACCATTATATACATACATACACACACACACACTCACCAGCCACTTATTAGGTACACCTTGCAAGTACCGCGTTGGACCCATTTTTGCCTTCAGAACTGCCTTATTCTTCATGAACAATGAAGTGCTGGAAACATTCCTCAGAGATTCTGGTCCATATTGACATGATAGCATAACGAAGTTGCTGCAGATTTTGTCGGCTGTACATCCATGATGCAAATCTCCAGGTCCAGCACATCCCAATGGAGCTCTATCAGATTGAGATCTGGTGACTGTGGAGGCCATTTAAGTTTAGTGACCCCCCCAACACCCCCACCCCCCACAAAATTCTGCACAGTTATATTTTATTATAACAACATAAGTGCCCCATGTATTTGTGATTATGAATGAAATGTGCGTTATTTAGAAGAAAGTCGAGGTGGTGTGACTGACTTTAGCCCACTAATGAATTTTTTCATTTGAGAGCTACTTTTTTAAAATTGAAAGTGGCAGAGCTACTCATGTAATACAATACTTAACTCTCTTAAATAATGCCTCATAACTATCCTATTAACAACTATCCAAACTGTTTTAGACCTAAAAGAGTTTTGTAGGCCTGCATGTCACCCTTAAATGTCAGAGAAAATAACAGAAACAGAGATGAATTTTTTTATAGAAAATTGTACTTTGCATATTATACTGTAAAAATACATAATTATAGTTGATTTTAGTTGATCATAGTTGATCATAACTAGAGATGTAATGGCATGGACATTTAATTTCATGATTAATATGACCAAAATTATCACGTTTATCACAGAATCCTGTTCAAAACGTACTACTACACAATGAAATCAATTCAACAAGTTTTATGTAGAAATCTAGCAATTAACAAATAAAATTAGCATCAATATGCACTTTTTGTTTACATAAACATTGAAATAATAACATTAAAAATGATGGCCAGATTTCAAAAGAGTGTCTTGCACCATGTTATCTACTAACATGTATGTACAAGTTCAAATAAAGTTTTAAGGTTTTATAAAAAGATAAACCTCACAAATTTTAGCATTTAAATATTTTTTTTATAAAAAGAATGAGTCAAAAAAAGATAAATTACTGACATTTATAATGCACATTAGGCAATCTTTTAGTAAAATTCGGTCTGATTTTCCCGTGGCGTCTGTCGTTGCAATGCAACCATGCACTGCACTCTACACAACGACAAAGAAGTTTTAGTAGCTAATGGATTTGCTACAAGATTTATTTACAGAGAAGAGAAAAACACCAGTAGTGTTTGAGTACACACCCATCCTTCATGTTGACTGAGCTTTCAATGTTGTTACGGAAAGGGTGAAGCTGATTAGTTGGTTCTTGTCACATGACCTGCGGTGTGTTTGCAGCATTCTAGAAAGTAGAGATCTTTTCATTTTAGTGCGCCAGTGTGCCTGTTATGAGCGAGCGCGCCTACATTTGAACTAACTTGAGCGCGCAAAAATCGCGATATGTGAACGGTCCCTTGGCGAGCTCGCGAGCGACGTGTTGAAGAGCCCTGTGATAGATAATAGAAAACTGCTTCGCGGTGCAGAGGATTTTTTTTTTAACTGCTCGTGCCGCCCCCCATGTGTCATGAATAACGTGCCCAAAACCGCTACTGGTCATGATCAGGAAACCAGTTTGAGATGATTTGAGCTTTGTGATGTTATCCTGCTGGAAGTGGCCATTAGAACAGGGATGGGGAACGTCGGTCCTGCAGAGTTTAGCTCCAACCCTGAAAAAAACTCACCTCAGCCTTAGTGATCCTGAAGACATTGATTAGCTTGCTCAGGTGTGTTTGATTAGGCTTGGAACTAAACTCTGCAGGACAGCGGACCGACGTTCCCCATCCCTGCCTTAGAATATGGGGACACTGTGGTCATAAAGGGATGGACATGGTCAGCAACAATACTCAGGTGTGCCGTGGCGTTTAAACGATGCTCAATTGGTACTAAAGTGTGCCAAGAAAATATCCTCCACACCATTACACCACCAGCAGCCTGAACCGTTGAGACAAGGCAGGATGGATCCATGCTATCGTGTTGTTTACGCCAAATTCTGACCCTTCCATCTGTAGTTGCAGCAGAAATCGAGACTCATCAGACCAGGAAACGTTTTTCAAATCTTCTATTGTCCAGTTTTGGCGAGTCCGTGTGAATTGTAGCCTCAGTTGACAGGAGTGTCCCCGGCTCCTCTACTTCAAGGTTGGATGCGTTGTGCTATCAGCTCAAACCAGTCTGGCCATTGATTCTCCTCTGACCTCTGGCATCAACAAGGCATTTTCCTCCACAGAACTGCCGCTCACTGGATATTTCCTCTTTTTCAGACCATTTTCTGTAAATCCTAGAGATTGTGCGTGAAAATCCCAGTAGATCAGCAGTTTCTGAAATACTCAGACCGGCCCGTCTGGCCAACAACCGTGCCAAGTTTAAAGTCACTTAAATCACCTTTCTTCCCCATTCTGATGCTCAGTTTGAACTTCAGCAGATCGTCTTGACCATGTCTACATGGCTAAATGCACCATGTGATTGACAGTTGAATTGGTGTACCTATAGTGGCCAGTGAGTGTGTGTATATATATACAGAAGCAGATATTTCAAAGAATGTTAATGCTGCTTCTTCCCATACATAGAACCTAATGCATGAGAAAATGAGACTGTTCCTTTGTGTGAATTACAGGTTTGGGAAGAAATCTAGACCAGCAATGTATGATGCGACTCCCATCAGTTATGAAGATTACAGCCCTGATGACAAGCCTCTAGTTGCACTCATTAAAACTAAAGATTTGTGAAGCAATACAACTGCACACACACACACACACCCTGCATACACACAGTCACTGTTCCAGCCTTTAAAATGAGCCAATCCGTTCAGTATTTATTTCCAGAGAACAGGTTTAAGCAATGAAAAAAAAAACACTTTTGAAATTGATATATTTTACCATTGTAAACCATGAAGCTTTTAATTCATATCAGGCACAAGGGGTGCTTCACAGAATTAGTTTAAAGCAAGAGTCCCGAACAAATGTGCTTTGTTTGCAGACGCAAATGTTTTGTGGAATATGAGTGGAAATGAATAACAAGCTACACTGAAAATGTGTGTGAGGGGGGTGTTTAACCGAATCCTCCCACCCTCGAGACTCTGATTACAAATACGATAGCAGCACTCCAAGCAAAAGCTGTAGAATTAGGAGTAATAGAGCTCATAGTACAGTTATACTGTAACTTCATACAGAAAAATTAAAAGATAAGACAATGTAGGTTGCCTTACTGGTGCATGAATAGGATCAATGGTTTGGCATTACTCTGTAACCTTATGTACATGGTTGTTTGCTGTTTATTTCTTCTTGTTCATTGTGGTCTCTTTTGTGTCATAAACTTGGTGTTAGCAAGGTCTTACGATACCACTGTCCATGTGAAGGCAGCACAACACAGTGCTTTTAAAAGTAATGTTTGATGGTGTCGTATCACTGAGTAAGTAATAAACTAGGACTCCTGTTTATAGTGCGTAACTTAAAGACATCTCTGTTCCAGTACATCTGCAAAGCTCCTTAAAGTGCGGTCACATTTACCGCTGCTCTGCGAAATTTCACGGCCGAAATAGAGTCCTTTAAATAGGAATTCATGCAGTTGGGAGTTTCACTCTTTTGACTTTAAGCAACCACCCGGAACATCCTAGCAAACAGTGATTCGCATGGGAGTTCCTCGTGAGGGAGGAAAAGTTCCCTACACAGATGTCGCTTGTGTTCAGGCTGGCTACACGAATTCGAACAGAAAGCTGATTGGTTTGAAAGAGACATTCATACATCGCCACAATATTAGCAACGGACCTTTTTTTGCTCGCGAAATCTCACCGAAATTTCGCTAATGTGACCAGTCGAACTCAGTGCAACCTTAAAAGAAATGGAAAAAACCAATGAGTCCGTTTACACGTACAGTAAAACGCTAATAGCTATCAAGAATCGCTCATAAAGAAACTGACAACACAAGAAAACAGGAGTTTACACATTTGGTGTTGACGTCAAAATGTAAATAGACATCCACATATTGAATTATCCGCCAAAACACCATTAAATCCGAGTAATGGGCAACAATTGAAGTGTGTCAGTTGGTTTTTGACCTTTACTTGATAAAAGGACACAGTTTGTGACATTTGCATGGTCTGGACATGTTGTCAGGTTGATAAGCATAAAGAAAAAATCAAGAAGTTGTAGGGAAAATAAAGTGGACAAGTGCACTGAGAATTCGTAGGAAACTTTTAAACCTTACAGAATGTGGCATAAAAACGTACTTAAAAATAGCCGCCAAGAATAAGATTACCTTCCTCATTAGTATCTGCTGAGACATTAGTGAGCTCATGGTAAGAGTACTGGAACAAGAGAAGTGTCTCTGCCAGGTCCTGGAGTCTGGTTAAGACCAGCATATTTCTGCCACGCGCTTCTGATGTTCCTGTAACGGGTCGGGTGATAGGATGTTTTCATTCTTGCCATTACCCATCGCTCTTGCTCTCTTATCTTCCATATCTGCTCCTAATTATACTCATTGTACTCCTATGGTTATCCTCTTGCTTAGTATAGACGGGTAGAAGTTGCCCTCTGTAACTGATCTGAGACTAGTTTTGATGCCTTTTAATGGCCTGAATTAAAAAGAATAGTTTGACTAAAATGAATTTCCCTTGTTTTGTTCCAAACTGGCATTTTCTTTATTCTGTGGAACACAAAAGGAATGTTTTCAAGCTGCTCTTTTCCATGCAATGAAAGTACTGGAAAAACATGATAGCAGTCTATATGATGCACTATATCCAAGGCCGTATGATAAGCAGACTGAAATGCAAGCTGAAAATCTGACTTAGCTTTCAAATCTCATGCATGTTTGTAAGTATTAAAACATCGCGCCTCAAGATGTGACGATGACATGATTTGTTCAGGTTTCTTATGACTGATCTCATTGAATGTTTTATTGAATGAGATTGGGAGCTATAGTGGATTTTCCAAATAACCTGTTGTAGTGTCCTACAGAAGATGAGCATCATTAGGGAGATGTATCTTTAGGTGAATGTACACTTTAAGGCTGTTGGTGTTATAAACTGGACTAGGATCAGTACTGAAGGGGAGCTTCTAACCCAAGCACAGTTTTTGTTAGTAAAAGATAACACCCATTTGGTTATATATGTGGAATGATGTATTAATAAAAGTTCAAGTGAAAGCCTATTGTTTTAATGCTTGAATGTTTAACTTATAATCACAGTAAATGAGATACAGTATACATTAACTACACTTCTTGATGGATGTTACTTGTAATGAAATCTGAATTACTCACTGTGCTATGTAAGTGACTGGTACATGTTGAAGATATTTAATTGTAGATAAGGGAGCACTATGAAACTTAATATCACAGGGAACAAGACGTTTTGGACGATACCACACATATCAGAAGTGCTTTCTTTAAACCAAAGAACAGATGGTAAGTCTCACACACACACACAAACACGTTATCTCTCCAAAACAGTCCAAACTCATAAGCACTTTCTGCGTAGTGCACAATGAAACTTGACATTTGTAAAACCATTCAGTGTTGCAATCATGTCTCAAGATGAGAAACACACACACTCCGATGCAGACGGTAAGTGTATACGAGAGGATGTGTTTTCCACAGCTGGAATGCCTTTGACTGTCTGCACATGGAATGTCCCCCAGCTGGCCATGCCCAAATATGGAGTTCAAACGATGTCCTCAACCCTTCACTGACCTTGTGTGGGCTCCAGATGTTCTGAAAGTAAACATCTGTAAGAATGGTGCTCGATGATGGCGCTCTGGCCACTCAGAAGTCACTCGCTGCAGGGAAGAAAACACACTTTTGATGGCTTTGACCTCGGAGAAAGACTAAGGTCCCCTTTGACCCCCTCAAGTGTTTATTTGACCTCTGTTTGCTCGACTACTATAGGCAGTTTCTGGTTCAGAACAGAGATGAATGCCTTTGTTCAGCTACATACAGTATAGAAAATATATTGCATCCAGTAATGCACAGTAACTTATGGCATTAACAAAAAAATATACACACATAAAAGGATGCAGAGTAAAAAAAAAGTATTACCACTAAAATATGAAAAGTTCTCTTAAAAAAAATAAAAAAAATAATAAGTATTCACATTGTAGTTTTTTGACTGTGGAATAAATTATGCATGGGTAAAAATATGTGTGTAAATAAAGGATTTACAGTGGCATGCTTCTGCATCTATACTTAGCCTATAGTATAATCTCCAAGACCAAAATCTAACTTGCACTTTTAAATATTGTCTCTGCCTCCCAAATGTGTGGGCTACTATGGGTGTAAAGCAGATATGGTGGTTTAACTGCTTGTAAATCCTGGAAAATCCCAATTTAACACACCGTTTATAGACAGGTAGGGTCAATCTCTGACCTGTGACATCATGAGGGTTTCAGAAGGTTTGGTTTCACCACACCGCTTCTCTTTGAGTCACTGAATCACACCGCTTCATGCAGTCCACATCTGGTTTGAAAATGTATACCTTGTAATAAATTTTAGTAATACCAAATCATAAATGAAACTTTTCATGTTGGAGAGGTGAGGACTGGGACTGGTTGTTGTAAGGTCATAAATGCTTGACTTTTCTAGCAGTGACATCAATAATAAATCAATAAGATATATTTTTCCCCTAACAAAAATGTAAATATAATTTTGCTATAGCTGTTGGAAAAACAAGTGAACACTGCGATCCATGAAGACAATATGATAAAGGATTTCTGGATTTTTTTTGGTCATTCTTCTAAATGTCAGGTCGAGGCTACATCTTTTATATGTTATTAAAAAATACTGTATATTTTACAACATTCGTACAATATTTTGGCCTTTTCCATTGTTATTGTTTCATGAATTGAATTTCATAATTGTTTGAATCTTTTAGTTTGGCTGAGAACTGTTGAATAAATATATGCTGTAGATGCCAACTAAACTATGTATATTTTTACATCTTTCATATAACAAAGATATTCTCCTTAAATCATCGTTCAGGAGTGTTGCTATACCCTATTAGCTAAATATTAGCCTACTGATAAATTCTCGAGATAACCGCTACCAAACAAATTATATTTTAACAATAAAAGTGTGTTTTATGTTTAGAATCAGAACTAGCGATGCCACATTTTGTGAATGAATCACTATTTTGACCCCATATATCAAGCGGTTTAGCAAAAAGGTCTGAAGTTGAAAAAATAACTCTTGATGAGGTGGATATAATCCACTGTAGGAAACAGAACTTGCAAATGTCTTATATCATTTGTCAACAACAAAGCAGCTCTTCATTTGCAGGTGAAGCTCGTCAGGGACAGGCTATGCATTCTACACAGTATCAAATACGGACATACTTTGATGAAATGCTAAAAACGCCCCTTGTGATAACTTTTGTGGACTGAATGAAATGAAAAGACGGCATTAAACGGAAATTGGGATAGTCTTTTCTACTGTTAGGCGGGACTTGATTTGTCCATCGTAAATCGATTGGATCGTTGTGGTTTGCTATTGGTGGATCTCATGTGAGTGACAGGTTGTCCCGCCTTCGCGCCGGTAAACACGTCATCATCAGAGAACAGATGTTGCTCCAAGAGGGAGGGGCATTTATTTTGATTAAAGATTACGAGGGCACAATAATAAAAAAAAAAAATGTGAATTGCTTTTTTTTTTTTTATAAGTAGCTAGCCTACTGCAATATTCCATAAAAAATATCAAGTTTGTTTTCATGGTGACTTTAACGCCCTCTGCCGGTCACAGTCTGAGAAGAACAGCAGTCGAGAGAGGGGGCGGAGGACACAGAGGAACAGAGAAAAAGGGGGAGAGAAAGAAAGAAAAGAGCCTGTGCGTGTTTACGCAGGCGGAGTTTCCTTCTTGTGCACCGTTGGAATTCACTGTATCTGTATTTTTTTCCTCGGGATTGCTGGAGGAGAGAGAAGGAGTGAGAAAGCGCCGCCAGCGAGCAGATGTTATAGCTGGACTATCCGTGTTTCCAGCCTGACAATCGAGCGTATCATCTACGAAAATGTGGCAGCCCGCGTCGGAACGATTGCAGGTAAGACTGGACGTCTAATTACTGTAGGAAACGCTTTCGATATCTGTCGTTCATTTTGGAGCCACAGCGTGCAGGCCAACCAATGGGCACTCGAGCTTTTCATCCAGCGAACCTCATTCCACCTAACCCTCCATTTATCAGATAAAATGCTACACTGGCGCTTTGTGGCTCTTCAACTTTTCCTCTGAAGCTCTGAGGTTCTGGACTGCTGCTGCTGGGAGCCTGCTCGCAAAATAGAGCTTGAATAGTTTTAACAGTTCTTTCTGAACCATATCATGTCGTTCCAGACCCAAGGCCATTTCATAGCATTGGTGAGTCTGTTTGCAGTCTTTGAAATGGCTTTGTTGTGCTGGAACTCGCTGTACTTCTGAGATTCCTCAGGATGCGTTAAAACAGGACTCGTTCTTCCGGTGCGTTTGCTCGTTTTAAAGCACCAGGGGCCCCGATCAAGGAAGACCAGGGGCCAGTTGCATAAACACAGCCACTATGTTAGTACTGTGTGTGACCACTGACCAACTAATCTGTCTAACTTTTGGGATTCAAATGAGACCAATCTTTCTTTTTATGTAACCGACTTAAAAAGCAGTGTTAAATAAAATAATTGATGACTTGCTTGTAATGGTAGAAGCAGTTTATGTAACTGGGCACTGGAGTTTTAAAATTGTGATTTCCAGGCCTGAAGAAGTCGTAGAAATTATTAAAATGTGTAAAAGTCATGGAAAGTCCAGACGATTACAAATTCCCTGCTGAAAAGCCAAAGCTGGTTTGTTGGTTTAAGCTGGTCTCAAGTTCTGGGTGTTTCAAGCTTGTGTTCTGCTGATCTTCCAGCCTAAAGTTCCTATAAAACCAGCAAATCAGCCTTAAGGGATAGTTCACCCAAAAATGTTAATTCTGTCATCATTTACACACCCTGAAGGTTTTCCTGAACGCAAAAAAAAAAAGGTATTTTGAAGGTAAAATATCCGTAACTAACCAAACAGTTGATGGGCCCCATTGACTTTCATAGTAATTTTTTGTTTTCATACTATGGAAGTCAATGGGGTCCATCAACTGTTTGGTTACCCATAATCTTCTAAATAAATTCTATTGTGTTCAGCAGAAGAAAGAAATGAATACAGGTTTGGAACAACTTGAGGGCGAGTAAATGACAGAATTAAAAATTTTGGGTGAACTATCCCTTTAAGGCCCGTTCACACTAAGAATGATAACTAGATTAGCATCCACACCAACACAATATTATTCTATTTATTATAAGCACTGCAGAGCAGTTACTTTGTCTGCCGCTTTAAATGCTTGAGCTTTTTAATTCTGATTGGCTGTCAATATTTTTATCATTGGAAAAAAATCATTGCGAAAGTGATTCCAATGATATTGGTCTCCTGTGCTGTTTTCTTTTTAGTTGTGGTGTTGAGCACTCTGCTATTCTCTGATATTTCAAACAATCTTTATCTGTATCTTTCTTGGTGTGAACGGGCCTTTCGTTTTTTTTTTAAGCCTAACTGGGAAATCCAGTTTAAGGTGTGTGCCTATGTTGGAACATGGTATCTGGTTTCTAGCTGGTCCACGTTGGTCATTAACTGGTCATTAACTGGTCTTTAGCTCAGAAACAAACTAGTTACCAGCTGGTCTTACCAGCTTAAAGTGTTTAAGATGGTCTTTGAAGCATGGGAGCTGGTCAGCCTGCTAATGCTTGAACTAGCTAATAACCATGGACCAGCGAGAAACCTACCATTTTCCAGAACACCACTACCGGCACAAACTGAATATTATTCCATGGGTTAATCCTTATCCACTAATCAAAAAAACGACTTTAAAGTGCATGGAAAATTCATGGAAATTGGTATAAAAAGGTGTGGCAATCCTGAAGTGCGTATGCGTGACATGGACTTTGGTTATCGTTTAACATTGTACGGCGATGAGCGATAAGTTTTTAGTCGGCGTGTCAAGTAACAGTTCAAGATGCCTGCGTTCAGTACCATTCCATCTAGCTGTTTCAGAACCGGGTTTATACATGCAGCACATCTGGTGACAAGCTGTGCGTCTTGGTTTTTTTGCAGTGTAGCCGTGCAGGTGAGCGACACTGGCATCCAGTTCTTGTGCATAATATTTAGCCACATTTCTCCAAGCATTCGGATTCATCCAGTTAGAAGTCCAGCAGTTACCTGTAAATCTCCCTTTAATAAAAAAGAAAAGTTCACGTCAAGTATTTGTATCTCCTGGGGTGCTGGGCTTCACGTCTCCACTGTTTGTAATATTATCCAGATGTGGAGCGGGACAGACTATGCCAGATGAACTTGCACAATCTTTCCTCACGGAGTTTGGCATGGGGACACTGATTAAATACCATAGTAAACTCTTTTGAATCTACAAAACCTGTTATACGTGGCAAAATGGTTGTATTGAACTACTACAAACGATTTAAAACCATGTAACGACAGCTAGTTTTTATTAATCTCACACAGGTCTGTGCAAAGGGGGTTCAAGATTGAACGTTTTCCTTCCTGAACCAATCAAGTAGATTATAACTGTATTTAATAAGCTTAAGATTGTTTGTCAGAATGGTTGTTAGTTATAAACAATATAATTCATTGTGGTATTTCACTGACTTTTCACATGATTTAAACCAGCCTGTTCCTTATTAGACCACAGTCCATGACCTAAATCCATTCAAGTCCCTGTTTTGAGTTAATCTCCGTTAAAACTTCAAACATGGCAAGTATTTCAGGAATATGCTCACAGCTGTCAGTGGACACCATTATCGTCATAAATAAATCGCATACAAGGGGCCGTTTCTAATGCTTTCTTACTGTACGGTTGAAAGGGTCACGCTATGTACATGTACTTAAAGGTACACTGTGTAGGAATTTCTCCCATCTAGCGGGGAAATTGCATTTTGCTTTTTCAAATGCGTGTTGCAACTACGGTAGCCGTGATGTACCAAGAAGCCATGACAACATATCTTCCAATAGCACTTTATCGAGTTTAACTACATGTTCTGCTGCCTATATAATGAATTACACAACCAAGCAATGAAAAAAAGCTTGTAATTTATACCGTAACATTGACTTACCTGTCGAGAAGAAAGCAGGACTTCAGAATCCCTTTCAAAGTCTTTCTCCTTCATTAGCTCTTTCCACCTGGGAAAAGCTATCCCGATATTTAGCCTCGTTTTTTGAATTCGCCTGTCACGTTTCCTTTTAGATTACATTTTTTGCTTTTTTGGCGACGAGGATTCCTTCTCCTGTGGCTCAGAATAAGCATGATCCTGCGTTATGAAGTACCGTGCAGTGTAGCCTATCAAATTTGCCGGGACAGTGACAAGCGCCTCTCACCGATCTCCTTGTCCGTTTCAGTCACGTGACGCTGGCTCTGAACGAAAACGTGTTGTTGAAACGCGTTGAGGTAGGCTAGTGCTTTTTGTCCCTCTCTGCTATTATAGTTTTTTCAAGATGGCGGAACGACATGGAAGCCTCCTTGGACTTACCCGTCCCATGTAAATAAAGATAAATAATTCTTCGCTTACGAGGATAAGTCAGATCATTGGCAGAGGTGATTTTACACCAATGAGAACATATTTATAAATAAAGACAGTGATTTTAGCTAATAAAATACTTAAAATACACAGTGTACCTTTAAAATTAAAGAGGTCATGACAATTTTTTTGTTAAAGGGTAACTTAACCCTAAAACAACTTTTTTTAGTTAATGATCTGTCAAACTGGGGCTTTATTATTGCTGTTCATTGATTCGAGTCCAGTTTTTGAGATTTGGGTATAAAGTGTTTCACTTCTACAATATATGGTGTAAAAACGTACTGCCCTCTTCAGGTTGAACGGTGGCTACTGCAGTTGAATTTTCCTATTGTAAGTTGTGGTGCCCTGTGATGTAAGCAGGCACCAGCTCACCACGCCCTTGCCTACAGAGAGATGCGGTCTCATGCACGCCCCCCCTCCACTGGGCTCCGCCCACTTTTCCAGCATTTTCCAAATATTGCCAGTGGGTGGAGTCAGGCTCTGACCAGGGGTTGAGTTACCCTTTAATGATTTAAATATGTTCCTCAAGGTTTACTTATAATGTTAATAAATGTGGGAAAACTATTATTTTCAACCCACATTCTGACCCTCTGTCTGAAATGATCCGTTTTTAAGGGGCGGCTCCTTGTCAGCAAACGGCCGCTGTTATGATTGGCTAACGTCATTGCATAGGAAACAGTATCAACGCCCATTCGCTATTGCACGTTGAAAGTGTTCTGAAAACATTACCCATATAAAACTGTAATTTACAGACAAAGCGTTATGAAATCATTTACTAACGGTTTGTGATGCAGTTGCTGTCAGATTCAATACAAACAAAAGTTTATTTGCGAACTCTCCATTACACTGTGAAGGTTCTTTCACTCTTCCATTTGTCCTGTTGTCGATGTGTGGATGTGTCAGAAACTGAACGTGCATCTGTATACTGTATCCAGTGTAGACTGAGTCAGTGATTATAATGGGTTACATTAGCTTTTGACGCAACACACATCCAGTGCAGACAGCGACTGAATGTCAGTGGGCGGGGCCTATGGTGCGATGATGTGTAACTATTCGTCGACGTCTTGCTCTGGAGGCAGTCTTATGTAAATGTGTTTGCCTGTGTGATGTCACAAAATCACGTCAGTCAATATCCAAATGAGCTGTTTTTGGAGCTTGATCAAATAACAACATCATAACATCATGACAACTTTTCTAACACCATTCATTTAAAACTATCAGTGTTTCCAATTAGTTGAAACATCAGCATACAATATTGCACTAACATGGTCAGATTTGGATTTCCATGTGTTCACATGTGCCGCGAAACACATTCATCTGCAGAGTCGAAGCACAACCAAAACAATGTTCTTCTGCAAAATGCATACAGTTTTGTTTTGTAACCGCAAAAGTTACATAGTGGACATTTAAAGACTGCTGATACGATTAGGATTTGGGGTGAACTCTTTTATAATCTCGTTAAAAAGAA